GCGCGGCCTCAGCACATGTTGACAACAAGTTTAGCTATGCGTCCCACGTACAGCACCTTCATCTCCAATTCCACTGGGTCTGCAGTGTCTTGCAGCACCCATGGGAAAATAGGAGTCTTAGGATGCAGCGCAGCTTAAACAGCGACGCAGCCCCGTGGGTGACCACAACCTGCGAGATGCCTCACCTCGCAGACTGGATCGCGTTTTGCTTGGATCAGCCTGTGAAGCATCAAAACCAAAGCCTCATGCAGCAGAAGAAGGCATTGGAACCTGGGGTTTTGACTATGATTTCGCAACTGGCCTTTTATCTGGACGGGGCTGCTAGCAGAGTAGGCGATGATTTGGCTGGAGACTTGCCAGCGAACAAGAAGCTGTCGAGACTGACGAGCTTCGTGATGTGGGGCAAGACCGGTGTGGCTGCAGATCTCCTGTTTCAGGGCCAGGCGTTTTCTCAGCTTGTGTTGAAAAGTTGAAGATCCAACAAACATTTGTGATGAAAGCCTAGCTGTTGCTACAGGAGCGATGGTGGAAAACAGCTTTGAGGTCAGCAGGCATGAAGAAGGACCCCCAAGTTACGCCGGCAAGCTTCCGCTATTGCGTTCTTCGGCTTAATACACTGTATGATGCGTGCTAATGTGTCTGTTCTGTCTGTGTTTTGGCAGTTAAATTAAACTTTCTGCTTAAAGGCGGGATATCTGCATCGTCTACGTGCCGTCGTGGAGCGGCAGAAGCATTTTCAGGCCCGGGGGGATCTATACAGCGTCGTCTAAGGGATGTCTGAGATCAGGTTGACGTTTGTGACATTCATCCGCTTTTTGAGCTGAGGTGCAGTTCGATGGCAGTGATTGCCAAACAGTGCCGACAGAGATCTTTCACGTGTTTTCCCCAACCTTGAACATTGGTGGCTATGGCCCGCCGCAAGCATGGGCCTCAGACGGACCTAGCCGCCTGAGCTTCGTTTTGGTTGTCATTCCGCAAGCTTGGCAGAACCTGAACCTTGAAGAGGATTGCTGCCGGCCCTAGGATCGTAGGTGTGTTTGTAGCTGTGCACGGCAGAATATGTAATCAGCATGACTCCAACCGCGGCCTTGTAGTGTAAAGTATTAGCATGACACAAGCATTGCTAACGAAGGGGAGCAGTTGCAATTGTTTTTTGAGCGCTGCCCGTGTTGCGTTGCCTGCGATGACGGAACCGACGGAACCATATGCATCTTTTGGCGTGGGGCGAGACACTCTTTCCGGTCCTGACACAGACTCGGGCTTTGCTGCCGGGCCAGTGCCGACCCAGACCACAACCAGTTCTGAGGGCAGCCTGTTCGAAGAGCCGCCTTTCCGAGTATCCTGATGTCAATGCATTTTTGTTTCTTTTGCCTAGCCTTGTCCAAGACTAAGTTTGAAACGTTTTGGAAGACATCTTTAAACACAAAGAACAGCCGCATCCCGTGCACTGTTGTTGGGCTTAGGTGCGTGGAACAGAGACAAGGATGCAGCTGGCTGGCCGTATATTTCGTATGGCTTGGGCAGTTCTGTGCCGTACGCTACCCAGGCACACTCTGGAGGCCGGTTGTTCTGAGCTAGATGAGGTTATGCGGACGTAGCTGAGCTGAACTCGCTTCGAACACCCACCCCGTCCAACCCTCAACCCTAAACCCAAAACCCATGGCCCCGATAATAGCACGGATTCGGGTCCCAACCGCTGTTTCCAAACCCTCCTGATATTTCCTGCCAGGGATCATTTCTCCGCGCTCCGGTTCTATTGTCTACATCATGCAGCGGCGTCTACACTGTGGAGTGCGCTGCAGCCATTCTGGAGAAAACCATAGAGCACAGTCCGCAGCGTCGGCGGATGAACATAGACCCCAACTTTCGCTCGCTTAGATGCTTCGAGTCTCAGCGACACTGGCAGGGCTAGGGTATCCAGGGTCTGTATAGTCACGCAGGCCGTTTTCGTTGACACGACTCGGCTTTCCGTTCGGACTTTGCCTCCCAGACACTCCCTAAGGAGATTGACGGTCATTGCCGTCAGGCTATCTGGGACAACCACCGATGGATGAACAAGTGGACTGTCAGGTGCCATGCACTTCCGCACGTCCATGGTGACCTGACACAGCAAGTGCCCACGGGCAGCCTGCCAGCAAGTTCTTTGCCGTTCTCAGAGCAGCAACGTGTCCTGCAGGACCTGCCCCTTCAAGGTGTTCAGTGGTGCTACACGCACTCAGCCATGTGCTCCACCCGCCAGAGGGCAGACGTGGATTTCAGCGGGCTCCCCTGCCAGGAGAACTCCCGTGCGAATCGTCTTAGACAGTTCTTCGAGGGCAGGTTTGGGCCCCTGTACGGCACATGGGCAAAAAGTCACAAGGCGGCCAAGACGCCCCTGGTGATTCTCGAGAACACACTGGTGCCTGCAGCGCAGTGTAAGTTTTTTTTGGTTAATAAATGCAATGTAAACGATCTTGTTCAGGGTTTCGGGGCGGTCCCTCACAACTCCTCAGGACATCCCCATGGTGCCACTGCGTGCTTTGATGGCTCCGGATTACCTGGCTTACCAGATCTTCTTGCATCCACGCGACGTGGGATTCGCAGGCGTCAGCCGGCCTCGCACTTTCGTCTACTTTTGTCACCAGGAAACATGCGAATACAGAGCGGATCTGTATGAAGCCCTGGGTCGGGTAACGAAGACGCTCTCTTCCTTTGTGCACACCAAGCCTTCGGACTACAGGGTCAGCAGCCCTTCTGCTCGACAGCTAGATTGCATGGAGATGAGCCGAAAGCGAAAGATTGTGTTTCGACACGACCTGTGGCTGCGTTGGTTTTTCTTTAGAAAACCCTCGACCCTAAACCCTGCATGATCCCTAAACTCTTCAACGTTGGGTGCACGTCTCAGACTAAGGACACTTCCAGCGTCTGGTACCTCCTGACTGAGCGAGAGCAGCTCCTTGTTCAGCAGCTAGATGCAGACTACCTGAGGATGTATGGCCGGGCGCCCTCCCAGGATGTCGACTTAGTGTATTTCTTGGGTGACAGATACGAATTCTGCCGCGCTTGGTCCGCTGCGAGCAGGGCTATCCCGACATATCGGCGGAATTCCGCAAGGTATCTGCACCGCAGCTCTATGACGTTCCTCTCCTCGCAGGACAAATTGGCGAGTCTGGGGTGGCCAGTGGCCCCAGAGTGTGCCGAGGAGATGGGCGTGGAGCCCTTTCCCTGCCTGGACCCCAAGCAAGCCGACAAGATGTGCGGGAACAGCATGCACCTAGGATGCGCGGGGATCGTCTTGTTGGTCGGTCTCACATGCTTCGGCCTTCGTCAGAAGGCTCCCGTGAACAGGAGCTGAAGCGCTGAGCTGGAGGCACAGCAGCCATCCAGCCGTGCTCCTCTGCTCGGACGGAATGCTTTCATGCCACTGCACAAAAGCCAGGCTTTTCTTTAATTTAAGCGGAGCACATCATGAGCTGCTGGCCCCAGGCCTTCATCGTCTTGACTGATCTCTCCTACCACTCACTCTGATCCATGTGACATCATGTGACCATCTCTGTCTATCCCTCCCTCTTCGTCGCTCATTTCCCTCATTCGACGTCATACTTCGTTCTCTAATTTTTGCCTTCGTTCATGAACAGATTCTCTGTCTCTGTCCCTCTCTCTCTCTCTCTCTCTCTCTCGCTCTCTCTACCTTTGTGCAAGACAATCTGCAGTGAGAAGATGCGGCACGTCTTTTCTGGTGACTGGCTCAACAGGCAGTTCTCCTTAGCGTGTGCTCTCAGTCTTTGCACTGCACGCACCGGCACGGGACGCCTGTGACTGACGATGTCACGCCGCATCCCGGTCCCGTCCAAGGCTGTTGCCCCCAGCAGGGCACCCCCGCCAAAGATCACTGTGCCCACGCCTAAGACAGTAACAAGCGTGGCCTTTCCTCCTCCCCCAGCCAAGACTGCGAGTCTAGCCGCACCGCCCCCGAAAGCTGCAGCCGGCACCGCCATAGTGCGCAGCCCTGAGAGTGGAACTGTTGAAAAGCTTGTGACTTCTGTGCATGTGTCATGAGCCTGTCTGCGCGTGTGTCTGTGTGTCACGTGCTGGGGCGCGCTTGTTTGAGAGTGTGTGTATGTGTATGTGTATCTATATATATATATATATGTTATTTGTGTATGTATGTGTGTGTATGTATGTATGTGTGTGTGTGTGTGTCTGTGTCTGTGCGTGCATACTCTCCCTCTCCCAGTCTCTCTCCCTCACCCTGTCCCTCTCCCGCTCGCTCGAGCTCGCTCCTGCTCGCTCGCTGGCTCTCTCTCTGTCTCTCTCTCTGTCTCTCTCTGTCTCTCTCTGTCTCTCTCTGTCTCTCTCTGTCTCTCTCTGCCTCTCTCTCTCTCTCTCTCTCTCTTGGTTTTCTTTCTCTCTCTCTCTCAACGAACCGCTCAAGACTCCTGCAGTCTTGCTTTT